GAGAGCTACATTGGGTTATGCTGTTGGTGTTGCCCTGTTGGGCTTGGACATTGACTCACGATTCTTCTGTATCATTCTCAAATGGATGGTTACTCGGTTCCATTGTGCTATCTGCTCTGGCTTTGACAACTTGGACTTCAGTGTGATTTTGCATTCTGGGTTTCTGTGCTTCGTCCATATTCATGTTCCTTTTGCGTAAAATTCGTTATCACGAAATCGGAAATTTCCAAGAATCGCGACTCATTTTTTTCTTGGAACTTGGAATATTCCGCGGAATTATTTCCGTGATTTTGTCTGAATATTCCACGGAATTATTTTTTTAATTTTCCAAGATATAGTTCTTGATAATCAAAATATCAATCTGATTTATTTTGCGATTTAATAGGAATATTCCGGAATATAAATCGTGATTTTATTTCCTTGAAAATAGGAATATTACGCGATTTATTTCACAATTTATTTTATAGGAATATTCCACAAATTATTTCACGATTTTATTCGGAATATTCCGTGATTTACTTTGCAAGTTATTTTCATGAAAATAGGTATATCCCACAATTTATTCCGGGATTTTCTTTTCTCGTGAATTTATGAGAATTTATCTTTCTGAAAATCAGAATTATTTTGCGAATTCGTTTCTTGAATTTCGGAATTATTCCGCAAAATTATTTTATTATTATTTTGCAAATTCCACTTGAAAATCCAAATTATTCCGCGAATTTATTTCTCAAAATCCTTTTCTGGAATCTTTTCGCTGATTCGTTTATTATTTGTGCATACTGGAAATTCGAATTTCTTATTTCTTAATTTTGACATTTTTTTCGGAATTTGATTCTTAAAAAAAACAAACTCTATCCTTGCGTCAAGTTTTGGGACCTTATTCCCCCGTTTACTGCGCATACTCTCATCTGGAATTTGATCTACATTTTTTTTTTTTTTTAATTCGGAATTAACTGGACTTGCAATTTTTTTTATTTTTGCAGTTCCACATTATTCTTTATTTCGTTTGCAGTGGACGATGAGAAAGGGAGGCGCAGCTACTGGCAAAATGCTCGGTCTTTGCGTTAGCCGGACCCCCACCGGCAGCCCTACCCCATCTCTGACTACCGCTGTTGGGGCGGGGGGCAACATGAATTACCTCGTTTGTGAGGCCCTATGCTTGCAGGGGTCCCCTCTATATAGTCTTAGGAGTAGTGGTAGGAAGGTAGTGCCTCTATGAGCCCCATTCGGTCGCATTTTGGAGCAAGTCGGCCGCCCTAAGTGAAGGCAGGCTCGACGAGGCCCTCAGGGCCCTATTTTCGGCCACTGCGCAACTAAGGAAATTCAGGCAGTTGCGCACCGCCAGTTGGTTGAGAGAACCCAGGCCCTGGGCCGCCTGTGTGAATGAATGGAAAGCAGGCCCTGGGCTGGATACGGGTACTGGGTCAAACACAGGCCAAAGGCAGTTGGGTGCATGCCACCACCTCAGGCCCAAGGCCTGTTCTCGTTCGTGCTGGGTCTCAGGCTACCGGGGCCTACTGGAAGGGACTGAACGCAGGCAGGCCACTTCGATATAGCAAAGGGCCTGCCTCCAGATCGGGGATTCGGGTGCTGGCTGCATGCTGCGCAAGCGCTGCTGCGCTATTTGCTGGCTAGCGCTCAGGCGCTCAAGGGCGAGCAGGAAGGAGCAGGCAGCCATAGCCGAGCTGCGCTGCTGTAAGCTGGGTGTGGCGCAGGGTGGTCCTTGGGTGCAAGTGGCATCCGTGTGTTGGGGAACGAGGTTGTGAGTGAGGCGAGAGACATACCTGGTGCTGGAAGCGTGCGACATTGGTCGCTGTATGCTCGTACTTCGGGAAAGCTGTTGTCGTCATCATTCGGCATTGTAGTCTAGGCTAGATAGGATCCGCCATCTGTAGTCTGGGTGTCTTCTTATTTGGTGAAACTCGTGATGCAATTGGTTCTTCATTGATGATGATGATGAGAATTTACCAGCATTGTCAATTATGAGCTCTTGGTGTCTTCTTATTTGGTGAAACTCGTGATGCAATTCTGCTGCTCGTTCGAGGTCACGACTATCTGGTCTTGTGTATATGATGCTGTTTGATTGCTGAAGTTCGCTATTGCTCATCTTCCTTGCAGTTTGGTATCGGAGCTGTGGTACGATTGCGCTCATCTGGCGCTTGTCTTCTGCCTAATGTGGTACATACATGCGGTCTGCTTGGTGAGTTGGACCGTAAGTGGTGTGTAGTGAGGAGGGCGGAGATGAGTGAGTGGCGACCCAGGAGGTGAGGGGATCGCCAGGAAGGCTACGTGGTGTAATGTGGGTCTGGACAGTGTGATGAGAACTATCTAATGTGGGATTGGTGCTGAGGTGGAATGGCGTGCTATGCTGGTTGTGACGAAGCAATGACTGGTCATCACAATCGGCATCAGGTCATCTGGTGAGATCATCTCTGTGGTTGGGGGCAGCTATTTGAGGTACGTTGCTCTTAACCTTATCTACCCTCTTCGACACTTCTTACCGTGAGGTTGTGTGTTCCTTCTTGAGAGTCGGCAATGTTCACGTGGAGCATCAGGAAAAGATGGGCGGAGCTTTCTGAAGGACCCTGGACGAAGCACTGGGTCACGGTCACCATGCCAACCCACCGGGAGTAGAGCACACATGCTTTGCTGCTTGTCCTTTGTTTGGCTTGCTGCGCTGTTAGATGGGTACTGAAGAGCAGGCCAGCCCTAAGGGAGGCGAGACCGGGCGTCTTTAAATAAGCACCAGAAGGGGAAATCATTGGCTGTGATCGTTGTCCTGCTGCGACGGAAAATAATTCCTGATGACACTTGCGGGCGGTCGTTAAATTGCCTCTGGATCAGCCAATGATTGTAAGGCTCGCTGCACGCGAGGATAATCCAGTGCAGGGCTGGCCAGCTCAGCAGATACTCGGGGCACAGGGGTGGGCCGAACACACCTTTTAGACACCCAACGCTCTTCGGATTGCTCAGGGACGCTGACGTCAAGTGACATTCAGGGGAACTAAGGGACGGGTAGATTTCAGGTGATAAGTTCGAGAAAAATTCCATATTGTCCTATCCACACAAATGATTCTATTTTTATGTTTTGATTAGTTAGATGTACAGCCATTTGACATCTGACAGACAGCTTAATTAGAACTGTCATTGTTCATTGTGCCTCCTGTTTGCGGACTAATCAGACTAAAAACAGTTTCATTTGTAGGAATCTGACTTACCTATTGGGCCCGAGTGTTAAGGTCTCTTCCATAGCCACCAATTAGTTAATTATTTATTTTAAATTGGTCTGTGCGTTATACTGCGGTAGGCATCCTAGAGTGCACTAGTGCAGATTGCGTACAGTGCTGTAGCTTATGAGCGATAGGGAGGAAACTAGAGAGGACGACCGGATCTTGCGATCGGCTAGACGCCCAATTGCCCATTCGGCATTAGGACCAGAGGATGACAGATACCTGTTCCGCCATCGTAGGGAGAGGCAGCAGCAGCAGAGGAGAGCCAGGGCCGAAGAGGCAAGCAGGGCGTTCGTAAGTGAAGCCGCAGCATCAGCAGCCATGGCCACTTCTGCGCAGCAGAGTTCCCAGGCTAGTAGTTCAGGATCTGTAGGGTCAACGGTCGCGTAGACCCAGAGCCAGTCCACTGGTGTCATGGCAAGCCAGCCAATAGTGTTGACTTCCGATGAGATCGCCATACAACAAGCAGCATTGCACGAGGCACAGCTACAAAAGGCTTTAGGAGAGATAAAAGCGGAGGAAGAAGGGATGATTAGAAGAAGAGCCAGGATGCAATGGAGACAGGCGGACATTAGTGAGTTAGAGGAGATGGACCTGACGCACGTGATTGACGATGTGAGGACCATGCGGTCCGTTCTACTAAATGTAGTTGAAATGCAGGACCATCAGACGGCCATCCTTCAGGACATTCAGCAAAGTCTGGCCCTGTTGGCTGGGCGAGCGCAGGCAACGTCACCGATGTCTGGGCCTGGTGCCTGGCCCGTTGTACAGCCTCCTCCTTTTGTCCCACCGGTGACCGGGGTATCCCCATATGTAGCCCCATCATCGGTCGCTATCGTTTCCCTGGGCATGCCGCTATCAGGAGGGTTATCAGCAGGATCTAGTTTGCAGGTTCCTGTACAGACAGTGTTTACCCAATCTACGTTGCAGGTTGCCGTTACCGCGCAGCCTGCTGTTTCGCAACCTGTACAGCCGCAGGGTACAGAGCCCCAGCAGTTAGCACAGCAGCCTGTATCACAGGGTCCACAGCCCGGAGTGATGCAGGGACCGGGACAGACTCAGTGGGTACCAAAGACGGCCATCGCCGCTCCTAAACCCTTCACAGGGGATAAGAGGGGCGAAGACCTCGACAAGTGGTTGAGGATAGTGCTGGTCTATGTCAAGTGTAAGCTTACCTTGCCGCACGAAGTGCTTGTGGCTGCATCCTATCTAGAGGGTAGTGCAGCACGATGGTTGAGCGGTTTAGTGCAACTACAGGGGTACGATCATGACTTCCACCCTTGGGCGGAGTGATGCAGGGATCGGGACAGACTCAGTGGGTACCAAAGACGGCCATCGCCGCTCCTAAACCCTTCACAGGGGATAAGAGGGGCGAAGACCTCGACACGTGGTTGAGGGCAGTGCTGGTCTATGTCAAGTGTAAGCTTACCTTGCCACACGAGGAAGTGCTTGTGGCTGCATCCTATCTAGAGGGTAGTGCAGCACGATGGTTGAGCGGTTTAGTGCAACTACAGGGGTACAGTCATGACTTCCATGCTTGGGCGGTCACCCAACAATTGGATGACTTCCTTGAGCTGGTGGAAGAAAGGTGGCATGATCCTCAAGAGGCCCAAAAGGCCACTGATGCAATCTTGACACTACACACGAGATGCTTTCCTACGCCTCTGACATCAGGGAGGCCACCGACGTTGTAGAGCGTCTGATCTGTGTCCCTGGGGTGCGCTACGACCCCTAGGTTTTACTCACCTCCTACCTGAGATGCTTTCCTATGCCTCTCAGGAATCAGTTGGCAGGTGAGGCCAACATCAATGTTCACAACTTCCCCTCGTTTAGCAAGAAGGCCCTAGACCTTGAGGCGAAGATAGGGCATGGGCAGACACCCACTACAGATGGTAGGAAGAAAACACTGCCTCCCAACTAGAAGGCGAAAGGGCGCATAATGTTTGTCGATAACGATGGTTCAACCATCGAGTTAGACGACACCTTCCAGGAGGGAGTAGGTTCAAAGGCGGGCAGCGCTGAAGCGTCAGGGGGTGGAGTTGTCGTTGTCGTAGCTCAGAAAGGTAAGGCGGCCGGTAGACGCCGTGGAGGCTCCCGGTCAAGGAGTCAAGTTGATCCCAATGCTCCTCCATGGGAGAAAGCGGGTCTCACAGAGGACGTGTGGAGAGATCGGTATACACGACAGGCCTGTATTCGTTGTGGTCAATATGGCCATAAGTGCCGCAACAAGAAGGTGACCGATAAGATCCCGCCTACGATGGGGCAGGCGTTGGGATCCTCCCATCCCATTGGTAGCAATGTAGCTAGTACTTCTGGCACTGGTCCGGGAAACACGTCGGGCCAGTAGGAATAGTAGCTGTTCCTACTAGGGTCGAGGTGGTGGATACACCCTCACCATCTCGAGAGATGGCCCAAGCTACTGACTCCAGCGTCGTCCCGCAAACACGTTCAGACCCATCGAGCCTCTGTTTGATGAATGTGTTCGAGTCCTTAGAGGAGCTAGAGGAGGAGTGGTCTAGATCAGACCCGCTAGCTTCTTGGACGGCCTTAGTCAAAGCCCCGAAGGGTGAGATGTTCGTCAGCGAGGTGGTCATTGGCGGCCGCAAGGCCGGGGCCTATTATGACACTTGCTCGACTAGGAACTTTATCAGTCACGCGTGCGTTGAGAGGTTGCGCTTACAGGGGCAAGTGCAGCGCCTGATTCGACCTGTGGAGTCGACCTGTGCCAACAAACAGCGCATGGTAGTCAACGACTACCTCCAAGATGTTGAGTGTTGTTTCCCGTACGCGGGAGGGGAATTGAGACATCGCGTCTCATTCCTGGTGAGCGATGAACTCCCCATGGACATGTTGTTAGGTATGTACTACCTCTCTTTGGCACGGCCCCAGTTTGACTGGGACCGAAAAGTTATCAAACACACTTTGTCAGGTGGAGGGACCGCCAGATTACGTAAGTTTAAAGCTAGTAGTCTGATTGAGTCCCACGTGTGCATGTGTGCGGCCTCGTTCTACAATTATTATAAGCAAAAATCAGGAGGAGGGTATGCATCTAGTTTATGTTTCTGCTGCAGGCGAGCCGGTGAAAATGCCGCCGAAGATGAGGGAGTAGTTGCCAAGTACCCTGATCTATTTGAAGAGCCAACAGGGGTTGTAGAGAGGGAGGTCGTCCACACAATAGAGATTATCCCAGGGTCTAGCATCCCGAAGGGTAGGATCTATCGGATGTCTCCATGCGAGCTCGATGAGCTTCGCCGACAACTCAAGGAACTCGTAGAGGAGGGTTGGATAGGACCGAGTGTTTCTCCTTATGGGTCTCTAGTACTATTTGTACCTAAGGAGGAGGGAACATTGAGGATGTGCATTGACTATAGGGGCCTCAATGCCATCACTGTCAAAAACAGAGAGCCCCTACCGCGCATCGACGACTTGCTAAATAGAGTGCAAGGGTGTCGGTACTTCAGTAAGATAGATATGAAGTCAGGGTACCATCAGATTGCAATCCGGCCCGAGGATCAACACAAAACCGCATTTCAGACCAGGTACGGTCTGTACGAGTTTGTGGTGATGCCTTTTGGCCTTTGCAATCCTCCTGGCACCTTTCAGCACGCTATGAATCGGATATTCCATGACTACTTGGATAAGTTTGTCATCGTGTACCTCGATGACATACTTATTTTTAGTCAGACTGTCGAGGAACACGTTGCGCACTTGGACAAAGTCCTCAGTCTCCTGCAACAGCACAAGTTCAAGATCAACGGTGAGAAGTGCGAGTTTGGCCGCACCCGTGTCTTGTACTTGGGTCATGAGATTTCCGCGGAGGGGTTAAAGCCCAATGACGCGAAGGTGGCCAGCATTCGTGACCGGCCGCGTCCTCAGTCTGTGACTGAGATGAGATCTTTCTCAAGGATGACCGGCTACTATCGCAATTCGTGAAGAACTATAGCATAGTTGCCGCCCCTTTGAGTGATCTGACCCGCCTTGACACCCCATGGGAGTGGACTGAGAGATGCGAGGCTGCTTTCAGACATCTGAAGCATGCGTTGACGCATTATGAAGTCTTGAAACTTCCTGACCCTGATAAGCCATTTATAGTGACTACGGATGCTAGCCAATATGGCATAGGCACCGTACTTGCAGAACAGGAGGGGAAAAAGTTGAGGCCTGTCGAGTATATGTCCAAAAAGATGTCGTCTCAGAAGTTGGCGAAGTCCGCCTATGAGAAGGAACTCTATGCGGTGTAGAAGGCTCTGACCCATTGGAGACACTATCTCCTTGGGAGATTCTTCATCCTCAGGACTGATCATCGGACCCTGAGATGGATGAGAACTCAGCCGGTATTCTCTGACGCTCTCAAGCGTTGCATCGAAGTCATTGAGCAGTATGACTTCGAGCCCTAGTACATCAAGGGTGAGTACAACAAGGTTGCTGATGCCTTGTCGCGTAGACCTGATTTCTCAGGTGCGCTGATCACTGAGTTTGAGCTTGTGGACAATGTTACTCAGTTGTTGATGGAAGCCTATCGCGAGGACCCGTTTATGGCCGAGATCATACGCAAACTCGAGGCAAAGGACAAAGGAACTTATGCCGAGTTTGTTGGTCACCGGCCTGCTGTTCCTTGAGAAGGCAGGGAATAAACATTTGTGTGTGCCTAATAGGGAGTCTTTGCATAGTTTATTTTTAGGCAAACGTCATGATGCCACATGACATTTTTGGTTCAAAAAGACTGCGGCTAATCTGCTGCAGTGGTTCTGGTGGCCCACAATGATGAGAGATGCGAAGTTGTACGTGAAGACTTGTCAGGTCTGTCAAAGAGACAAGCCACGTACCCAGGCTCCTCTTGGGCTCCTGAAGCCCCTTCCGATTTCGGAAAGGCCTGGTGAAAGCTTGTCCATGGACTTCATGGATACACTGGTCACCAGCAAGAGTTGGATGAGACACATCTTCGTTATTGTAGATAGATTTCTAGGTTAGTAGCGATGCCAGAACAGCAAAAACGGAGTATGTGATTAGAATGTTCAAAGAGAACTGGGTTAGGGATTTTAGCTTACCAAAGTCTATCATAAGTGACAGGGATGTCGGATTTACAAGCGAGTTGTGGACAGTTGCAAATGACTTCTGGGAATCACCCAGAGGCCAATGGCCAAGCCGAGCAACTGAACCGCGCTGTCCAACACCTGTTGAGGCATTACATCAAGCCCAACCAGGTGGACTAGGATGAGAAGCTTGCTCTCATTGCCAGCCTGTACAACAACGCGATACACAGCGCTACGGGGGTGAGTCCAAACAGCTTACTACTGACTTTTAAGCCTAGACTACCCTTGGATTCCTTCTTCCTGAGAAATAGACAACTGCTGCTCTGGGTACCCTAGAATTTGCTTACCGGTACGAACAGAAGATGCAGCAGGTTGTAGAACAGATGCAAAAGGCACAGGCGGCTATGATAGAATCTGAGAACAAACATTGTCGTGAATCTTCATTTCAGGTTTGGGAGAGAGTCTGGGTTAAGTCCTCTGAACTGGGACAGGACCACAGGATCTCCCGCAAGCTCATGCCACAGTACTTTGGACCATGGGAAGTCTTAGATATTGTTGGGACTGATCCGGATGGACCTTCTTATGTAGTTCGGATCCCTGGTCATCTTCGTACTTACCCCGTCTTTCACGCCTCCAAACTTGCACCTTTTCAAGAAACTGATCAGTTCCCCTCTCATCGCTCAATGCTGCCCCCAACCATGGACACAGTTCCTCTCTCTCTCTCTCTCTCTCTCTCTCTCTCTCTCTCTCTCTCTCTCTCTCTCTCTCTCTCTCACTCTCTCTCTCTCCGACGCACGTCCAAGTTTTTCCCCGTTAGCGACGGAGTGCGCGACTCTCTCTCTCTCTCTCTCTCTCTCTCTCCCCGACGCACGTCGATGCTTTTCCCCGTTAGCGACGGAGCGTGCGACTCTCTCTCCCTCTCTCTCTCTCTCTCTCTCCCCAACGCACGTCGAAGTTTTTCCCCGTTAGCGACGGAGCGCGCGACTCTGTCTCTCTCTCTCTCTCTCTCTCTCTCTCTCTCTCTCTCTCTCTCTCTCTCTCTCTCTCTC